TAGGGCTTAAGTCCCTCTTCCGGACTCTACAATGATGATTTTCCGAAATAGGCCAGGTTCAAGCTGTTCAGGCGGCCGAAAGCGGCGTTTAGGGTTTGGTGGTTCTGGGCTGGCTCAGTGTCAAAGTTTAGGGTTCAGTTTAAGGTGGTTTAGTTTAGGGTTTAGTTTAGGGTTTAGTTTTGGGCTTAGTTTTGGGCTTAGGGTTTAGTTCATGATTTAGTGCAATGTCTACCCGCAGTACAACTTGAGGCCTCGCTGCACTTCATCCCTGAAGCAGCAGTATATGGTAGTTTTCATAACCAGGGGGATTTTAGTTGTGACCCTATATAATCCCAACCACCCCTAGTTTTAGGAAACCCTAAACTCCAAACCGCATATAGGAACTTGCTATCTGGGTAGTTTCGGTCTGAACAACCGAAGCTTGCGAAGAACTGCAGCACTCTTTATACGCAAAACTTGGGTATAGGGGTCAATTCAGGGTGTTATTTAGGGTCACATAGGGTTTAGGGCTTCCCAGAATTAGGGGTACCCTTTTGGGGGTCCCCAAAAATACGAAGCATATTGGGTTCTATATTGGGGGTCAGCGCGCATCCTAGGCCCCTTGATCCCTCGCGCGATTTAGGGTGTAGGGTTTAGGGTAAATGTATACACCCTGAGCCCTGCTTGTTTGCCCTATTCGAACCACCCCTTCGACATCAAATCCTGAACCAACATCCCGATCCCAAAGCCTCCTTAACCTTCGACCACCTCTAGGCTTATAGTCCCCCTTAAGTAGATAGAATATGGGGCATATGGGGGCCCAAAGCCATGTTCTATCTACTTAAGGGGGACTATAGGGTTTAAGGTTTCGGGTTTAGGGTTTGGGGCCCCTATATAAATCACGAACCCGATACCCCAAGCCCTAAACAAAGGGGCCTTAAGCCCGTAACCCTAAGCCCTAAACTTAAAAAACTATCTCCCTAGTAGTTGTTTCCTTTTCTTTTCCATTATCCCCATATAACCCCCATATATACCCTATCATGCCCAATAAAAAAGCTACCATCGACCAACCATGGAGTCCCAAGGCATAGACAGTATTTAGGGTTTAGGGTTTAGGTGGGGGTTCGCCTAAACCCCAAACAAAGCCTTCACCCCCAAGCACGAAACCCCAATCTCTCGACCCAAACCCTAAACCCTGAAAACCCTCCTAATAAGCCCTAAACCCCAAAACCAGGACCCTATGACTATCGCATCGTGACTCGCATAGCTTCCCTATCATAGCATCATTGCGGTGGGTTACCGCAACACGATCAACCTAAACCTCATAGATGCCTCCATACACCCTACATAATCCTTGTACCATCCCTGTAAAATTCTGTATTATCCTAATTGCTCCTATAAATATCCCATTTTCACCTCAGGCATGGGCGAAAGCGCTTCCCAAAGGAGGCGTTTCTAAACCGAAAATTGGCCCATGCGCGGGGCCTGCGTGGGTTTAGGGTTTCGGGTCTAGGGAGTGCCACCCAAAAAAACTGGGAAGGGCATCAGGGTCGTGGTACAATATGGTTTAGGGTTTAGAAGAAGGGTTTAGGGTATCGACCACAAAATGCATAACATGTTTTCTAGGTCTCGGGGAGGGGGTGCTGATGTCCCAAGTTTCTCACCGGCTCGGGCATTGAGGCTTCAGGTGGCACAACAGGATTGACCCCTTTTCTACGATGTATGTTGCCATGCTGGTGCTCAGGAAAGTAGACTGTTACTAGTACTGTATACCATGGATCCTACTCTCCTGCTTTGAATACAGGACTGTTTAGATGCAGTCACAGGTTTGGGGGTGGAGGGCCAAGGGTCTTCATAGTTGGGTGCTGATTATTGTGCTCACTGGGTCCTCATAGAAACTAACAACTTCCTCCACTAAACCCCTAAGCCCCAAACTCCAAACCACACACATAAACCCTCAACCTTGAACCCCCTCAACCTTAACCCTAAGCCTGTAACGTCACAATTGTCATAGGGTAGCAAAGCCCTAGCAATTCATACCTCGAGGCTACAAGTACCTAGCAATCGAAAACTTCCCAGGATTCAGGGTACTGGAGGTACAAATTCCAAGCGCCCACGCATTGGCTACTTGGGCCCTCCCCCTACTCCCTGCCCCGTAATATCCAATCCCACCCCGCCCCCAAAATAATAAATAGGTACTTATAAGCTGGTGGATATCTTGAATGTTAGGGGGTGGGGGCTGATCATGAGGGCAAGGGATTCAAAAAGATCGTCTCCTCTGTTATTGCATGGAAACCCACTTTTAAAAACTGTAATTTTGAAAAGCCTGTTCCTTTCTGTCATCCTACTTTAGCCATGCAAGGGAGCACCTAAACTGGGTTGCTGTTCAGGTGCTTAGACTAAATTACAAGAATGGATACACAATAAAATGCAAAAGAAGACTATCATAATTTGAGTACTGCCCCCACCCAGTAACAGTCTATATCAGGGGTCCTATTAAGGGCTACATATCATATAACCATAATATAATTGTTATCCAACTGTTACTAGGGTGGGGCAGTACCCAATCTATAATGATGACATAACTGAAGGTCCCTTTCAGCAACCCAGGAAGCCTCGTATAACCCCGGGGGAACTTGGGAAACCCTGCATGCTCCTAAGGGTCGGCAGTTTGGGGATCCGCTGCTCGCGTTTTTCCCTAAACTCTACACCCTGAACTCTGTTGGGTTGCCGGCCTACCAACTCCTGTGCGCTTTTTGGGATACTGTTGGGCGATATTCAGACGCAAACATAGAGAATGACACAATGACATACACTTTGCATTTGAAGCAGTACAATGTTTTCTCAGGCCTGACAAGGTTTCCCCTGACAAGCAGAATCTAAACTGTTCTTCAAAGTTGGCACGAACTCGGATCGGTAGTCGAAGTTGTGCTCTCGCCCCAAGTCACAATGGATGCATCCGGAAGAAGGGCTGCAAACGAACGCTTGGAAGCCTGGATATGTTGCACTCTCCTGAGCCGATGTTGGACTCCGCTGCTGTCACCACCGGAAGCACTGTAGCCCCATGTCACAACCGAACCATCGGCCCTGAGCGCAGCAAAAGCTTGCTCTGAAGCCTGAATTCGCAGCACATTCGTCAATTGGGATTGTACGTGAGTACTGTCACCGCCCGTGTCAGGGTCGCCCCATGACACTACAGATCCATCGCAACGGATGGCAGCAAATGCTGATCGTGTGGCTTGGACGTGGCAGACGTTCTTCAGCCTCTCACGCACAAGACTGCTGTCGCCACCAGAGGAACGGTCACCCCAGGTTACGATCAACCCATCCTCCCTTAGAGCCGCAAATGCCCTGCAAGTTGCTTGAACATGTTGCACATCTGCCAACTGATTCTGCACAGTGATGCTGCTGCCACCAGCAAGCGGAAATCCCCATGTAACGACCCGACCGTCAGCACGAATGGCAGCAAAAGCTGCATCTGAAGCCTGGATCTGCTGCACAGTCCTCAATTGTGCCTGAACACGACTGCTGTCACCACCGTGTTTGGGGTTGCCCCAGGTTACCACGGATCCGTCACAACATACAGCAGCAAATGCACACGTTGTCGCTTGAATGTGCCTCACATTGTGCAAGACGTCTTGCACACGATGACTGTCACCGCCAAAATTACGACTCCCCCAAATCACAACCGAGCCATCAACCCGGATAGCAGCAAACGCAGCGAAAGTTGCTTGAATTCGCTGCACGTCAGAAAGTTGTTGCTGAACCGCAGAACTATTGCCCCCGTAATTGGGGTGGCCCCACGTCACGATGGATCCGTCACCCAGGACGGCAGCAAAGGCCCTCGCTGAAGATTGAATCTGATGAACGTTTGTCAACCTGTCAGCGACAGCACTGGAGTCACCGCCGCATTCGGGGTCGCCCCACGTCACTAGCGATCCGTTATGCAGCAAAGCTGCAAACGCTCCCTGTGACGCTTGGATAGACTGCACGTTCTCCAGCTGATGATGTACATCTCTGCTGTCCAAAGCACGTTCCTCACAACCCCAGCTCACTGCAGAACCATCTCCCAAGATTGCGGCAAAGGCTGAGAGATTTTTAAGGGTAGGTTCATGACAGCGGCGTCGAGGGAAACCAGCTACACTCACAGGCCTTGCATGAAGTGTGAGCACGTCACCACTTCTCACCTCTGCCTCTGCAAGGCTTGATGCTCTGTTCAAGACAGCGCCGGAAGCGCTGAGCAATCTGCCCCGGCTCAAGCCCAGATCTCTCTGCGCTTCTTCTTGCACTGATGCAACTCTTGAGTCGGGATCCGCGTTGATAATTGTGCTCGAACCGCTCAGCAGAACCACTTGAACTTTCATCGACATGGGAGGCAAAGCTCTAGTTGATAGCTGCACTCTTCCTCTGGGCCACACACAAGACCAGTAGACCAGTCGAAGCCTATTACGATTCTTACTATGATGACTACTAGAAATGCTACTGTTATTCTTTCACTTCTTTCGGCCGCTCCTGTCGAGAACTCCGTGCGCAACAACAGGAACCTGCCGTGCATTCATCTGGTGCTTTTGTAGCTTTAGGATGTTGCTCCTCGGTTCCCCGGCGCAAGATACGGCTGTGCTTGGATAGACAGAGGCATCTAATTCAGTTGACAAGTTAAAGCCTAAAAAACACGGAAAACCACTGAACTTTGTCATTCTCGCGCTATCAGACCTACTCATACTTCCAGTTAAGGTACTGGTGATGCTAGAAAACCCTGCAACAACGAGCCGTTTGAAAGTACGGCATCCTCATACCACAACACATCGACACTACTGCTCGCGTGGATGCCTCTGCCACTTGGATCCTTACTAAAAAGACCACCAGAAGGAAACCCCACAACATAAAACCAGTTTCCGATCCGAAGGCAGTAATCTCTACCGAGCACCCAAGTAAATTCCTCGTGGTCCCCGTCCCGCTCTCTGTAGGGTCTGCCTAAGATGAAGCAAAAACCCTGATCCCACATCCCAGCCAGCGTTGCCTTAGCGCCCGCGATGGGACTGCAGCACACAGCGGGTTTTGCCCAAGGGTGATTTGCAAAAGGTTAAGATAAGAGTTTGGGATGTGAGGTGAAGGGTTCAAGCTAAGGGAAGGAAGCTCTCAAGTCAAAAAAAGGAAGCTTCAAGGAGTCTAGGGATACAGGGGATTTTACGGACATTGTGAGGCTTTCTGCCTGCAGTGTGGGATGACATCAGTTAAGACACTCCCATATCTGGTTTGGAGCGTTTTGGCAGCAAAGATTGGCAGTCACCACTTCTTGTCCTGGTCTTGGAACCACTATCAGGCTTTCTCCAAGTCGGGGGCTGCTAGGTACCCCAAGTACAGATTGGGGTCATCAGAACGCTATGGGACCAAGTAGGGATTGCGTAGCGCACATTTTGCAAGCTCCCCTATCTCTTACTCCACCCTGCTCCCATATCTTGGGCCCTAGGACCACCCAAGCAGAACAACTAGCTTGCAATGCATCTTGTGGACACGCGAAACCCATAGAGATAGGTTGAGCATGCAATCTACCCTCATCCGTCAGCTTCACGCATCCGAATCCGAATCGTCAGCCATGAGAGCCGAAAGGTTTAGGTTTTAGGGCATCAAACTAACAAAAAGCCCCAACCATGCACAGTCCCAAACAAGCACCAAACTAAGCAATCGCAACCTATACAGTCTCAAAACAGTTCTTTAGTCTAGAGGCCTCTTGGACCCCCTTTTTCCTTGAACCCTCCAAATGTGGGTTTCTGTGGCCCTAGGGCCATATGTGGATAACACAAAAAGGTAGAGGGTAATTGGGGTCCTGATTACTTCTTCTATACGAAGAAGTTACGCAGAATTTGGAATGCCTATGTTCCGCAAAGGCTTAAGCCCGAATCCCCATCTTATCCCTAGACCCTAAACCCTAAACCCTAGGCCCTTTACCCTATGCCCTAAACCCTCAACCCTCCGCCCTTAACGGCCTGATCTGGCTTCTTCAGGGACCGCGTTGGCGAAGGAAATCGCTGGCGCACGCCGTTGTGGAAGACCGCTGGGCGATACCTAGGTATAGGGTTTAGGGTTTTGGATTTTGGGTGTAGGGAGAGGATATAGAGATTACATGGGGTGATATAGTCTAGGGCTTAGGGGCACCTTCAAAGAGGACATAGGGGTGATATGGGGTTGTAGAGAGTTTAGGGGCATCTTTAAATTTGAAGGGGATATGGGAATGCCATGGGGTTATATAGGGTTTAGGTTTCAGGGGCACCTTTAGAGGGAATATAGGGAGTATGGGATGTCAAATGGGGTTGGGGGTTTACGGTTGGGGGTTTCACAAGATTAGGGGTCCTGCTTTTTTAGGGGGAGGGTCCCTATAATAAGGATGAAAGACTTACTGGGTCCATATTGGGGGGGGTCCCCGTACTCACGGAAACTACCACCAGGTATAGGTTGGATACTGCCCCCGCCCAGTAACAGTTGGATAATATTCGTATTACACTTATATATGAGCCATTGTCTAAACTCCTAGTATCCCCCCTAATAACCCCTATAGTAGCCCCCTATATAATCCCCTGTATGAACCCCTTTAAGGAGTTTAGACTATAGCTCACATGGCCCCTTATTATTGCACCTATTATAGACTGTCACTAGGTGGGGGCAGTACTCCAGGCATAGGCCTCAGCTCGGAGAAACTCCCAATGAGGTGTGAACGCTGTAGGGTTGAAGTTGCGGGCTTGAGACCCTAAAACCTAAACCCTAAACCCTAAACCCAGAACCATGTAATGTTGACCCTAAGGGCTAAGAGTTTAGGGTTTTGGGCTTAGGGTTCTGAGCCCTAATTGTCAGCTTCCAAAGGTGTATTGAAGTGTCTTTGCGCGGGAGGGCTGACATACAATGCACGGAAAATATGGTCTTCCAGGGTTTAGGGTTCCGGTCTTCGATTGTCCCTACTCAGCCTCATTAGCCCCATTTTCGATCTATGAACTGTAGACCCTAAACCCTAAGCCCTAAACCCTAAAGCTGAAAGGTCTTAGGACTTGAGTTGGGTTAGGCACCCACCCAGTAACAACGGCACGACAGAGTTTACCGCTGTCCTCTATGATCAGAAAAGGCGGGTGCGGGCCTACGTCCAGCCAGAGGCTATAAGGATTAGGGTTTAGGGTTTAAGGAGATAATACGGAACCCTAAGGCCTAAACCCTGGGGTTTAGGGAGTCGGGCTTACGATTTTGTGGATTTAGGGAGATAATATGGGCCCGCCTCAGGATCATGCAGGGAGGCGCTGAGAAAGACCCAGATGTAGTCTATACAGGTTCCCCGACCAAGCAAAAAGCGGAGCTACCCTGTGCAACGGACTTCAGGTCTAGAGTTATGCAGGTGCACGTGTTCTACATGATAGCAAATACAAGAGACCATAACTTGAGTTAACCCCGGTTTCCATGAATTTTCATTTTTTTTGTGCCCTGGATTCCGGGATATCAAAGGCCAGGACTTAGGGTTGGGCACTACCCCAAGCCCTGGAAGCAAAGCCCGGCACTCATCGGGAACGCTCTTGTGCATCACTGGGGAGTTGCGGTATCGCTCGACATGTTGAGTGAGTCCTCCAATGGACGGAGGAAATCATGAATCTCCCCATCCATGCAGTGAAATTCCTTGGGGTATTATATGGTATATTGGGATATATAGGGCCGGTTATATGGGGATAATGGAAAAGAAAATGGAAACTACTATTTAGGGATCGTAGGGTTTAGCGTAGTTTTAGGAACGCAGGTAGCTGCAGGATTTCCTCCATCCACAGTCCATGCTGCGCGCAAAGCTTGGAAGGGTGATCACAGTCGCTACCATCAACAGCCGCCACAATCACGAAGCAAGAATAATGCTGATGATGGCAGGTAGTGGGAGGCATGTCCTTACAGCAACTGCAAACCAATCTAACAACAACGCGGCTACAGCTGCATGCGTCACGAGGAAAACCCAAATTGAATAGAGAGGGCACTAAGTACCAGCAACGTACTATTCCAAATACACTTGGGCAGTTGCCAAAATAATGGTCCCTTTCTGGATCCCTATTATAATACGGCACCTAGTATTTAGGGGTACCCAAAAAGGGACCATGATTTTGCCAACCACCCACTTAGGTTGTAAACTCTGTGAAGCTCCAAGTCCTGTGAAGGTGCAGTCTAGGGTTGAGCACAGCTCATGGCTATAATATTAAGTCATATTAAAAATAGCGAGAATACGGATAACACTAGCAGTAGCAATTGGGTTTCAAAAAGTCGTAGAATTACCCATAGTAACAATGACTTGGGATAGTGACATTTTTGCATCACTCCTGGGATTTAGGGTTTAGGGTTTAGTCTCAAGGAGTCCCATAGGACCCTACCCATCAAGCTACTAGGTTGGAAGGTCTACTTGGAGGCCCAGGGGATTCCCTGAACTCTGAACCCTCTACTCTAAACCCTGAACTCCAAACCCTAACACCTAAACCCTAAGCCAGGGCATAAGTGGGGTTATGGCCAACGGCCAGTAAGGTACTGGTAAACCCCTGTGTAACCTACTGACGAAGTCCGCTGGGCCATCAAGTAGACCCTAAACCCTATATGATCCCTATGTAATCCTTACATACTCCCTAAATAAAACCGGAAATAATCCGTATAACCCCTATACAACCCCTATATAAGCCCAATGTAGCCCTATATCGTAATCCCGATACAACCGTCTTTGGAACCAGAAGATTTCGCTGCCCGCTCCTTGATGTGGGCCACTCCAGCTGACGGCACAGACCTGTCCCAAAGACATGTTCGAATCCCCAGAGTTTAGGGTTATTACCCATAGGGGGAGAGAGAGAGAGAGAGAGAGAGAGAGAGAGATATATATATATATGTATATGTATATGTATATGTATATGTGTATATATGTGGGATGTGGAAAAGAAAATGGAAACTACTATTTAGGAATTTAGAATTTGGAGATATCACCCCCAGCATGGAAATTCAAATGGAAAAGGCAACAGAAAGGGAAATGAACACTGGGGTTATAGGGGTTAAGATTCAGGCTGGATTGCAGTTTAGGGTTTCGAGTAAAAACCCTTAAACCCTGTTGTGCCGCGAGCTGCTTTGGACCACAGTCAAATGGCTCACGTCATATTGCCGCAGCGTTCTGAATAGATTAACCCTGGAAGCTTGTCAGGGTCAAGGCTTCAGGGTTAAGGTTTAGGGTTTAGGTAATCTCTCCACACAGCCTAGCCATAGATGATCAACATATATACCTATTAACCCAAACCGCAAACCCTCTCAAAACGAAAACAATAAACCCCAACGCGTCCCTACGTTTCCCAGATCTTAATCCTGAACCCAAAACCCTAAAACCAACACCGTGTATTCGCAAAGCCCTTTAAGACTTACAGCCTAAGCCCCTAACACCCTCAAAGACTTAAACCCTGAAACCTTGAACCACTAATTAGACCCTAACAAAGGCCCTACCCTAAAACCCTAAACCCCTCAAACCTCTAAACCCTATACCCCTTAGACCCCTAAACCCTTAAAACCCCTAAAACCGCTTAAAACCCTTAAAGCTCTTAAAGCCCGGGCCTTCTGACTGGGAAGCGCCCAGGCTCCGAAGCCGTTGAAGCGCCGCCAGGCATCGGCCGCGGCCTCGCAGGCTTGGATTACATTGGGTTTAGGGTTTAGGGTTTATGGTTTAGAGTTTAGGGTATAGGAATTGGGGCTTACGGTTTCGGGTTTAGCGTTCGGGGTTTAGGGATTCGGGTGAAGGACTTCAGGGATCAGGGTCCAGGGCTTCGGGATACTACCCAAAATGGAAAAGAATGTGGAAAATGAAACGGAAACTGGGATCATTCAGAAGTTTACAATGTTGGTAGCTATTTCAGCTTATACATGAGGGTGCTGGGTGTATGGTTTAAGTCTTGGATTGGGGTTTTAAAGGTTGAGGCTTTGTGGTTCAGGGTTCAGATATTAAGGGTTGAGGGTTGGGGGGGTTCAGGTTTTGGGGTCTCCCTGTAACCGGGCTACAAGGATAAGCATGTATAGTCCTGTGTGAAAGCGCACACATATCTATGTGTGTGCGTATGGTTCGGGGTCTAGAGCTTAGTTTCTAGGCCTTCTGAAAAGGTGCAGGCTTCGGGGGCACAGGGGGAAAGAGCTGATAGGCACCCATTGCTACCCTAAACCCTGAACCCTGTAGAGACATTCCTCCCCAGACTAAGCTAGGGCTTAGGGAGCAGGGCACGAGGCATAGGACTGGGCATTTTGGGCTTATTGTTCTTAGTTGCTCTTTAGTGGAATCCTGCAATAAAAGTTTAACCGTTAGCTCCCTTAATATGAGACGGAGGAGCCAAAAGTTATAAAGCGCTAAAGTTGCAGCAAAGCCCCACCAGGTGTTTATGGCTTAGTTTTGTATGATTCAGTGCCAAAACCTGAAGGTCTATTTTATTAGAATGATTGATAAATGTTATACATTTCTCTAAACCCTCAAACCTAAACTCCCCAAACCCTGAACATCAAAACCTCAAACCCTAAACCCTAGACCTATGCTAGCTACACATTGACATGGATAATTTGAACAGTCCTCCGGGCTAGCTCCCGTGGGGAGTAGCCGAGGGTGCTCGGGAAGGAAGGAAGCTCTGGGGCTCAGTAGACCTATGCAAATCCTCTAAATCCTAAACCCTAAACCGTAAACCGTAGGGTTCAGGGTTTGGGGTATAGGGTTTAGGGTTTAGGGTCTAGACCCTAAACCCTGAGCCCTAGACCCTAACCTAAACCCTGAACCCTAGGCCCTAAACCCCGCAGCAAACTCATAACAAGTCTGAGTGAGCTGGACTTCCAGCTCCTACGCAACTCCCAAAACCCGAAACTGTTACACATTGGTCCCTATATGAAGCAACAAGGAAAATCCATAAGGATTCTATAAGCCGCAAGCCCTAAACCATCTAAAACCTAAAGGTTTAGGGTTTAGGATTTAGGTTTTAGGGCTTAGGGTTTAGGGGTTAGGGTTTAAGATTTAGGGTTTAGGGTTGTAGTCAAAGGTCGCAAAAGTAGGTAAAATAATAGCCCAAAACCCCTAAATGTAGCCCAAAAGGCCATTATTTTACATACTTTTTGGGGTTCAGGTAGGGTTTAGAGTAATTAACCCTCATTCCGACAACAAATGACAAGAAAAGCACCAACGACTCTTTCCGGCGCAGCACTTTGCGCACAGACAGATTTTCGCCAAGGGCCTGCGTTTCTGGCCGAAAGCTTAACCACCATGAAGCTCTCAAACTGACTTAAACCTGGGGTCATCCTCCCTTACAATAACTGTTACCACAATGGGCTATAGGAGTTATAAGAACCCCCTTAATAAGGCCCCTTTAAGGACAGTTACTGGGAGGGGGGAATGACCCAACTTAAACCCAAACCTTGTTCGCAATGTTTTCAACACCATTCTGAACATGTTTTTGTCTTCTTAGGGGAATGTGACAGTAGAAGCAAAAGCACTTCCTTGTAGACTCCAATATCCTGTCTATGGATTTCTGCATGCCAACCTGAAGGAACCCAAACCGAGAATATCACAATTAAGGTCTGCATTTGCAAAAAGCAGGGTGCCGTTCCAAGACTTTTATTCCGGTCTCGAAGGTCTCAACAAATGGGCGAGCCTTTACGCCCAAGTTGTGCAGGCTAACGCAATACGCGGTCGGGCCTCACCGTTGACGAAATTCACGAAGGCATATCCCAAGTTCCTTTGCAGCTCGTACAGTTAACGACATGGGCTGAGATGTTCAGTATGGTCTTGCCAGAGGGATTTTGGCGTGTGGGCTCTAGCATACATTGTTTCAAGCTCTAACTCTGGATTTCTGGTTTTGGGCTTGAGTAGTTGGAAGCTCCGGACTCTCCCGAAGCTGGCTCAAGCCAGGAACGGTCCTCAGTACTTAAACCGGAACACACTGGGAATAAAGCTACGGTATGCCCTCTGAACTTTGCTGCGTGGATCTTTGGTGGTTTTACTGTGATGTCGGAGCTTAGGGTGTAGGAGATATGTTGGCCGTGGGGCGAAATTTAGTAGAAGCACAAGAGGATCCTCAGGAGCATGTCAGAAGTTCTTGAGGCTCCAATGGTCTCTGCTATGCATATGATTTCAACGAGTAGCAGTTGACTTCGTCCGTTACAACACATATGCATAGCAGGTTTACTAATACAATTTCAGAGTTTCAAGTTTTGTTCAGGGCTTAGGCCTTCTATCTATACATATATATATATACATATGGGTTCTGGTATCCCAGAAGAGGTAGAGTTGCCCCTGAACCCAACACCTACACACAGATAAGATGGCAGACCCTAAGCCCTAATCCCTGCGCCCATCATCTTGAACTCAAGTCTCGCTCGCCGGTGGAAATCACAAGGGAGGTACCTGAGATGTTTGAGAGCTTCCAGGTTTAGGGCTTTGGGGTTAGGGGGGTTGGGATTCAGGCTTCTCCAAAGTTCCAAATTGGGCTACGCCTCAGAATACTGGACGTTCGGTGTAGAAACAGTTTGATTCCTTTCTGCAGGTGGTCCAACTCAAACCAGCCGAACTTGAAGTCTCAACAACTGCCGCATGATAGAACAAGAAGTCCCAGTCCAATTCACAAAGAGCCAGCACCTCAGTCAAACCCTGGACCGAAACATCAGTCGGAATAGGGTTTAGGGTTTAGGGTTAAGGGTTAAGGGTTAAGGATTTAGGGTTAAGGGTTTAGGGTTTAGGATTAAGGGTTTAGGCTTTAGGGTCCATTGCTTTCAAAACTTCAACAGGGTTCCTGAGCGGGTTCTTTTAACTGCTACACTCCTGCTGATCTCCTCCTACATCCCTAACCCTAGACCCTAAACCCTAAACTCATTATAGTAGATAATAGGGTTTCCCCAATATAGTATCTTATTTTAAGTTCCTTAAATCCCTATATTCCCCCAGTGTCCATTTCATTTTCTATGTTCTTTTCCATTTGATTCTCTATTATTGGGATATAATAATCCCCAATATTCCCATTATAGTTGTGTGCCCTTGCGTAACAGAGGTTTGAAATGCTTGTGTGCAAGAAGCATGGAATGTAGGGCCCCAATTTGCCAATCTAGATTCCTGTGGCGAGTACAGCCTACTTGAAGGAACCCTCAACATGCAGTTGCCCGAGCTTAAACCCACCCGTATCTCCTAGCAAACCAAAAATGTGTTCAGGTTGCTGGGCTGAAAGGGTTGCATCCCACACATTTTGGGTCTAAGGCCTATAGGCTTTAGAGTACTTTACCTGTATGTTCTCTCCGGCCCCAACGGAAAAGTGCAGAAGTCAAAGGGTATCACCTGAGTCGGGCGGCGCGAAATCATAGCGTCCGCGGAATCCATGGTCATCTAGCATTGCCAGGAACATGTCCCTGCAGCGTTTCTCAATTTTTTCAGGTCTGAGAAAACGACAGCAGACCGCATCTCAGGTTTCGGGTTTAGGGTTTGGGGAGCAGGGAGCCCCAAACATTCTCTAGGGCTGGGTGCCTAGTAACAAGTCCACAGGGAACACAGTCCAGCCCTGCTGCGAAGGCAGCCGAGGGCATCATCAACGGCATCTCTTCACGTTCGAGTCTACTGACCGGGGCCACACGTGACAAAAGAATAAGACAATCAAGAAACAGCAGCGGCATGAGCAATGCCCTCTGAGACACCGAGGCGTATGTGTGGTCTGAATGAATTCAGCTTATGGACGAATGCGGCTTAATATTTGAAGTGTCCAGGTTTCATCCTCATGTGGGGCATGTGCGGGTGTTACCTGCCCCTCTCCTGTTGACTTAAACGCCTGGAAAGGTACAAAGTGGACTTCATTGAGAAAATGGTTGACCTGGATTACTTTGTGTGCCATTCCTACCGGGGCCCAGAGCCACTTCATCAAAATCTCCTGCTGCCCAGTCTGAGTCCAGCTAGCTCCAAGGGAACCAAGAGATCAATTGAGGGCGGTCTTACTTTGAAGCACTCCCAGATGAGCAGATGCTGGGGGTCGAGGGCTTACCCCAAATTCAAGATCTAATGTTCAAGACACACCATAGGATTCTAAGTCCTCTGTTGAATGCTGCAAAAAACCTCCAACGAAATCATGAGAACAAGGGATGTATAAATGCCAGATCACAAGCAGTACCCAAAATATACTGCCGATATTGTACTTATATTCACTCCCCCACTCCGCTGTAAGCACAGAAATCAGGACAGAACAGGCGTGCACCACCCGATTTACGCCACTGTCCACTATCTCCCAGCAAACCCCAAACCCCAAACCTAAAGCTAAATGAACGCTAAGGGCAGATGGCGGTTTCTAGTAAAACCCAGCACCACAATGGAGAATTCAATCGAACATGAATTGGAAGCTAGGGTTGTATAGGGATTACATAGTAATTATCTTCCCTGAGCCCGAAGCCCTCAAAACCTGAACCCAACAATGCAGGGGCCTCTTCAACTAGAATGAAATTCAAGTGTACTGTTGCTCCTAAGACTTCTAATGACAACTCTCAACTACAGCCCCTTCTCCTAAGCGAATGCTTGGACTTAGTAAATATACGTATAACCCCTATAAGCCATGCAACAACTCCAGGTATGCCCAGTATTAACCTACTTAGTAAGCCCCCCTTATCCTTCAAGTGATGAGGCCGTCGGGCCTTGTGTAGTTGTTGGGCAAGTTCCGGAGCATGACCTGCAAATGGGAGCTCTTGTTGGGTCCAAGGGGTGCATAATTCATGGCAAAGGTTTCACCTGTGAGGTTTCCAAAGATTAGGGGTGCCCTCTTGTGGGGTCCCAATGATGGGGATTGCAGATATCGGTATACGGGGTCCCCCCCATTTACGGAAATATGTTTTGAGGATGAAGCATTGGGAGTGGATGACAATCCATATCGGGAACCCTATGATCTGTCAGAATCCCTGTAATACCGTAATGAACGGCAGGGAAGCTTCTGTGCAGCCATTCTTCTGACCCAGCCCTAAACCCTACACCCTAGTGCTTAAACCCTAAACCCTCGTGCAAAAAAAATACCTCGACCCTAAGCTGGGTACAATCACGGCAACAAAACTTTGATATTAGGATTATATCCCCCTATAATGGATTTGGGTTTTGGGTTTAGGGTTAAGGGTTTAATATTATCCCCCTATAATGGAGGATCAAAGGGAAAAGACAATGGAAAACGAAATGGAAACTGCGGGAATATAGGGATTTGAGCGAGAAATCAGACACAAATAAAGAGCAAGCCAAAAAATGGTCCTTTGGGCTTCCACATTGGATCATGCCCCCTTACGGTTTATGGTTTAGGGTTTGGGGTCATAGGAGTTATACTAGCGCCTTAATAAAACCGGTATAAGGACGGTTACCGTAAGGGCGAATGACCCAACTTCTACACTGTTGTCAGACAGCGTCCCACGTACCCATGAAGCACAAGGTCCGCAATGCGAGTACTGCTAGAGATATCCAATATCAAAATGGCCTCATATTCCAATCTTTCACAGGTGCAGCTCAACATTCACACAGAACCCCTAAGCCCTAAACCCTAAACCCGTCATCCATAATCTTTAGCCGCAAATCAAAGCAGATTCATGACTGTGTTTTCGAGGCACCTGTCTATGCGACCTGCATTCTGAGGGCAAAACCCCCAAAGCAGGATAGAATTCGAAATCCCAAGCCCGCAGCCAATGCCCTTCCAACAACCCTTGTACTGCAGGCCCATGATTCCCCACCCTCACAGCGGGGTTGTTAGATTTTAAAGTCTATGTCCTCGCCCGCCCGGAGCCTGATTGCAGTGCCCAACTGCAGAGTATCCCTGCAGTGCCCAACCGCAGAGTATCCCTGCAGTAACCAACCCCCAAGTATCCTTGCAGTGCCCAACCGCAGAGTATCCCTGCAGTGCCCAACCGCAAAGTATCCTTGCAGTGCCCAACCACAGAGTATCCTTGCAGTGCCCCACCGCGGAGTATCCCAGCAAGCAGTGCCCAACCGCAGAGTATCCTTGCAGTGCCCAACCACAAAGTATCCCAGCAGTGCCC